CAAGAGTGAACAAGCGTCGAAGTTGCACTCTTCGAAAGGTTCACCCATGCCACCTAATCCACTTGTTGAAGACATTGTTCTTCAATCTCTCTCTACTGACATGACCTTTCTTCACAACCGTGCTTGTCATTTGGTCGATCCCATGGAAGTTGCACTTCCTAAGGCAATGTTCCACTATGATGAGGATGCAATTGCATGGATCAGCAAAGAAGATGTGAAGGAATTTCTACGTGGTGAAAAACTTAACATTTCCCTCATTCAAACATTCATGAGGTACTTCAATGCCCACATAATCTATACTTTTTTCAAGTTATTCAAATTGATGGTGATTATCCTACATCTGATAAATTAATCAATGTTCATGCACGCAGAGCACTACAGGAGCACTTAACTGACACTGATTCTCCTTGTAAAGTTGGGTGGTTATGCCCCGAGCAGTTATCCACTACTAAAATCATAGGCAACCCCCATGACGTGTTGTACTATGTTGAACAGAGTATAAGGGAATCAGCGCGTGCGGGAGACAAGTTCATATTCGCCCCATGTTATAGAGAGTAAGTCTAACCATGTCAAATTCAATCTATTTGGCCTCATTATATGTTGACTCCTAAATATCGATTTGGCCTCATTACATGTAGGGAGCATTGGAGCCTCATGGTGATTTGTAATTCCACTAACACAATTTATCACCTTGATTCAGCTCGATCATCGGAGAAGTGGCTCGTGAAGTCTATATTGCAAAAGTAAATATATATAGCAACCTATAGTGATGATTATTGCTAATAATAACTAATTTAGTAATCATACGACTAATCAAATTTGATTGTATTTTTTTATACTACAGTGTTATGAAGAAGCTACATTGTCGTGCTCCAAAGGGTCCAACATGGAAGACACCGTTGGTAATTTACATGATATTATTGTGATTATCTTGAAAATCTATGGTAGTAAATATTTGCTCATTTCCTTTGCATGTTTCACTGATGTGATTTGTTTGTCATATGCTAGTGCGCACAACAAGAGAATGGACTTGATTGTGCTTTGTATGTGATGAGATTCATGCTTGACATTGTGACTCATTGTACGGACACTCAACAGCTTGATGAGGTAAATCCTAAAACTTCTTGAAATGCTATATTGATGTGATTTCACGCCTTAGACACTTAATATTACCCAACAATGACATGTTATGAGAAACAAAAAAGCTATTTCACAAGAAAGGTAGAAAATGGGCTGAATAGAAGTCATATGGGCCATGTTAGGGCCATTTTGTGATAATATGCTCTTTTGATGTGATTTCTTTCCTTATACACATATAACTAGATAATATTGACATTTTATGAGATAAATAAAGTTCATTTAATAAGAAATGTAGGAAATGGGCAAAGTAAGGTCATATAGGCCGTATTCGGGCCAGTTTGAGTAAAAAGCGTCGTAAACCTTAATAAAATGCTCTCCTATACAATTTTAGGGCTTACACACATACAACTACCCAACATTGACATGTTATGAGAAATAAATAGTTCATTTGATAAGTAATGTAGAAAATGGGCTACATAGAAGTCATATAAGCCCTATTTGGGCCATGTTGAGTAAAATGCGTTGTTAAACTTCTTGAAATGCTATATTGATGTGATTTCTAGCCTTAGACACCTAATATTATCCAACAATGACATGTTATGAGAAACAAAAAGGCTATTTCGCAAGAAAGGTAGAAAATGGGCTGAATAGAAGTCATATGGGCCATATTAGAGCCATTTTGTGTTAATATGCTCTTTTGATGTGATTTCTTTCCTTATACACATATAACTAGATAATATTGACATGTTATGAGATAAATAAAGTTCATTTAATAAGAAATGTAGGAAATGGGCAAAGTAAGGTCATATAGGCAGTATTCGGGCCAGTTTGAGTAAAAAGCGTCGTAAACCTTAATAAAATGCTCTCCTATACAATTTTAGGGCTTACACACATACAACTACCCAACATTGACATGTTATGAGAAATAAATAGTTCATTTGATAAGTAATGTAGAAAATGGGCTACATAGAAGTCATATAAGCCCTATTTGGGCCATGTTGAGTAAAATGTGTTGTTAAACTTCTTGAAATGCTATATTGATGTGATTTCTAGCCTTAGACACCTAGTATTATCCAACAATGACATGTTATGAGAAACAAAAAGGCTATTTCACAAGAAAGGTAGAAAATGGGCTGAATAGAAGTCATATGGGCCATATTAGAGCCATTTTGTGTTAATATGCTCTTTTGATGTGATTTCTTTCCTTATACACCTATAACTAGATAATATTGACATGTTATGAGATAAATAAAGTTCATTTAATAAGAAATGTAGGAAATGGGCAAAGTAAGGTCATATAGGCCATATTCGGGCCATTTTGGGTAAAAACCGTCATAAACCTTAACAAAATGCTCTCCTATACAATTTTAGGGCTTACACACATACAACTATCCAATATTGACATGTTATGAGAAAGAAATAGTTCATTTGATAAGTAATGTAGTAAATGGGCTATATAGAAGTCGTATAGGTAATATTTGATAAAAATACATATTTTTTGCCTAATTAATTGTTTTTAAAATAATGTTTCTGTATTTCAAGTTTTGAAAGGTCCAAAAGGATGGTCCGTTGACAATCAAGGAGCTTAATGAAGTTCGTGACATGTTGGCGTCTTTCATCACCTTCAACATGTAAATGGCATGCATTGTAATTGTAAATTATTTATGTTAACTTTTGAACTATATATAACTTATTATTCATTATATATGTGTACTTACTATTATTTGTATATGTAAGCAACTGTTTTTTTTTTTTTTTTTTTTTTGTATAGCGTTTGGGAATATTTATATCTATATATATATATATAAAATTGAATTCTTGTATCTAATATTATTTTTGTATATAATAATTAATAGTATTATTATTAGTTATTATAATAATAAAATTATTAATTATTATATTTAATATAATTGCTGGAATTACAGGTTATTATTATTGCAGGTTTTTTTTTTAAAATATTATTGCACGATTGAAAAAACAAAAAAAACGAAAAAAAAATTATACAAAAGGCACCGGTTAGGCAGGAACCGGTGCCTAAACTATCCACCACCCAAAAAAAAAAATGGCGGGAAAGCAGTTTTAGGCACCGGTTAACCGGTGCCTATTTCACCCTATGGCACCGGTTAACTGGTGCCTATTAAACCCTATGGCACCGGTTTTGAACCGGTGCCAAATAGCAGGTTTTTGGCACCCCTCCAATAGGCAGCGGTTCAAACCGGTGCCTTAGACCGGGTTTGAACCGCTGCCTAATGCCTTTTTTCTACTAGTGAAACCCTCAACAACCAAACCCAGCCCAACCCCACCACTGGCACCACCTGTCCACCACCACCGACAAGATAACCCAAGCCGTCGGTACCCCTGCCCCACCAAAACCGGCAAAACCACGAACCCCTGCCCCAGCTCGGCCTTGCCGCACCATCAACCACATTATTCGCATCGAAAAACCCCCGCAACCACCACCTCCGCCACCATACACAACGAATTCCCATCCCTTACACCACTTCCGACACCCCTCCAGCCACCGAAAACCCCCTGCGACACCCCTTGAACCACTTCCGACACCCCTCCAGCAACCGAAAACCACGAAATTCGCACTGAAAAACCCCCGCAACCACCTCCTTTTCCCACTCAAAACTGACAACCACCACCATTTTTCTTCCATTTCACAACAAAATTAGCAACTAGTGGTCGAGATCGGCCAATTTAAGGTCGAATTTCAACCACTAGTCGCCATTTTTGTGGTGGCTAGGGTTTATGGAGTTGCGAGCTAGGGTCTCAATCGCTGCGTCTGGTGGTCTATAGGTATTTTCGGGGTTGGTTAAGGAGGGTGGGGGTGGCTGGGTGGACACTGGTATGGCTTGGCGGCAGTGGGGGGTAGTGCTAGTGGTGGGATGTAGGGCTGCCGGTGGTGAGCTTCGTGGCTGGGCTAAGGGTTTAGGTTTTTTTTTTAAAATTTTTTTTTTTAACCAATATATAAATGACACGTGTATTTAGTGGGGTCCACAAACGGTTTTTTTTGACAGCATCCTCTATGCGGTGGTGAAATCAAATTTTTGAGATTTTTGGAGGTGTTATAATCAAAACTTTTTTTTATATGGTGTTATTATCAAAATCGTGGCTTTTTTGTGGTGTTATTTTCTAATTTTTCCTAATTTTAAAAAACAAAAAACTAAAAAATAGAAAACCAAAGTGATGTCAAATGAACCCTTTTAGTTATTTTGTTAGACCCTATTTGATTCACCTTAATTTTGCTGAACTGAAATTATTTTTACTGAACTGAACTTATTTTTACTGAACTTAATTTTACTGAACTGAAATTATTTTTACTGAACTTAAATTATTTTTACTAATTTTCTATTATAATTCTTATTTGAGAAAATTGAATTTTACTGAACTAGACTTATTTTTACTGAACTGAAGTTATTTTTACTGAACCAAAATTAATTTTACTGAACTGAACTTATTTTTACTGAACTGAAATTATTTTTACTTAATACTATTTTTTTAAGGCGAAGAGAACAGGGCCTTAATCTAATTGCCCTTTGTTTGACTTCACGAGTTCACGGTAGCAACAATAACATGGCGCCCCAGGCAATCAGCTTGATTAACGAAACTTTGTCAATCAATTGCTTTGTAGGCCCCCTTGCCAGATAAATTAATTGAATATTGCTAACGTTTGATTTTTTCCAACCTTGATGTTGAGAGTTCAATCCCCACCAGAGACCCTTTAGCGGTGGGGGTCCTTTACCCTTCCCCCTCAATCTCAAAGTGTTTGTCTTGAGCTTCGGTCAGAATTCTTCTCCTTACCGTAAAAAAAAAAAAAAAAAAAAAAAAAAAAAAAGAAAAAAAAAAAATTAAGGGTAAATAGCTCTTAACATCAAAACAAACCCCAAAATCCCAATTTCCCAACCTTTTTTTTTTCTTCCCATTTCTTCACAACAAATTCAATCTCCAATCATCATCTAAACATAGTAACATACCCGCCAAGAACTCACTCTGTTTCTCTCTCTTCCTTCAACAATGGCGCTCAAAACCTCCATTTTCTCTCTTCTCACTCTCCTCATTTTCACACCCTCAGCAAACTCCCTTGAATACCCACAACAACTAATCGATGAAACTTACTTCCAAGACTTATACAATATGAACATCCACTTCCCTCTTTCCTTACCACCCACTTCGCCGTCGCCGGCCAATGGATCCACGCTTGTTCCAGCGTTATTCGTGCTCGGAGATTCTTCTGTTGATTGTGGGAACAATAACTTTCTTGGGACTTTCGCTCGTGCCGACCGTCTTCCTTATGGTAGAGACTTTGATACTCATCAACCTACTGGAAGATTCTGCAATGGCAGAATTCCTGTTGATTTTCTAGGTATTAATTTTCAATTTAACCCATGATTGTTTTATTTATCATACTTTTAAGTTCTGGGTTATTTCTTGATTGTGATTTTAAGCTGAAATTTGCTTCTGGGTATCTGTAGTTTCCCATTTCTTGATGAATTTCACTTCCGGATGATTATAAATCTTGGGGTTCTTCATGAATTTTTCATCAATACATCATGCTTACTTTCTGGGTTTTTGAGGGATTATATAGCTTATGAAGGAATTAATTTGGTGGGGTTTTTGTAGGATTTTTAGTAGCTGAGATTTCAGAATTCTTTCATTTTACTGATTAATTAACTTGGATTATCGTGTTGTTTAGCATTGCGATTAGGGCTTCCATTTGTGCCAAGTTATCTAGGACAATCTGGGAGCATTGATGATTTGATTCATGGGGTGAATTATGCTTCTGCTGGAGCTGGAATTATTTTCTCAAGTGGAACAGATCTGGTAAAAACCTATACATAGTTAATTTTCTGGCTAATTTGCTTTAAAACTAATTATTTACAGCTTTTTTGGTTGAACATAGATTAAGCCCTAATGGGCAGGACTAATCATTTAATACTGTTCTGCTAAAATAAGGTGAAATTAAACATGTTTGGCTGAAATTTAGTCTAGGCAATCTAGGAAACATCGGCGCCTAAATGGATTAACTAACAAGGAAATGAATATTCGACTACATTTACTTTGTACAGTGACTTATAGTTTCATCATTGGAATTTGTAAATGCATTGTGCACTGAGTAATGTCATAACAAAACTGTTATCTGTGAAGCTAAAGTAGGCTACTCCGTGTTAGACCTGTTAGTGGTGTGTTAGAAATCTAGGATGCATTTTTAAGTTTTTTACAAAAACAAAAGTGGTTGCAAATTGCAGTGATTTATGGCAGTCAAGTAATTAATCATATGGCAAATAGAATAGGGTAGAATATGTATTGTCACCTGAGTCGAGTTTGTAAGGTATGTGTTATTTGGTATGATGCAGATGATGCTCCTAGGATTTTGTTAGTATAATCGTTTACTACTTTGTAATGTTTCCTTGAAAGATCATCAACAGGTTGTAAACATGACCATGTGTTATTTTATGGATTTTCATGGTTCATGAAACATAGGTCTTTCAGTGCCCAAATTACTGCATCCTTATATCTGACATCCACTGATCTTTTTCTGAAATAATTCTTGCAGGGACAGCACGTCTCCTTAGCTCAGCAAATACAGCAGGCCACTGATACATTTCAGCTGTTCATGATGAGCATGGGTGAAGATGCTGCAGTGCGTCTCATCTCTGATTCAATCTTCTATATTTCTATTGGAACCAATGACTACATACATTTCTATCTCCAAAATGTATCTGGTATCCAATCAGTGTACAGTCCCTGGAGTTTCAACCATTTCCTTTCAACCTCATTGAAGCAGGAAATCAAGGTAATTCTGATTATTATCATACTAATAGTTTCATATAAAAATATATTATCATAGTAGATTGGTTTGGGAACTCTATACAGATTGATATATTTACTGATTGTTTTCCTAACATATGGTTTAAAAGAATCTACACACTGCACATGTGAGGAAAGTGGTGGTAATGGGAATTGCACCTATGGGATGCGCTCCTCACTACCTATGGCGTTACAGAAGCAAGAATGGGGAGTGCATCCAAGAAATCAACAACATGATAATGGAGTTCAACTTTGTGATGAGATACATGATTCAGGAGCTAAACAAGGAGCTTTCCGATTCCAAAATCATTTTCTGTGATATGTATGAAGGTGCTATGGATATCATACAGAACCATGAACATTATGGTAATGTAAAACATTACATCTTTCTGATTGATCAATACCATCATATATGCTTCTCAAAACACTGAACCATAAATAATTGGTTTATGCAGGGCTCCAAGTTACAACTGATGCATGCTGTGGGTTAGGAAGATACAGGGGCTGGATTATGTGTTTGTCTCCTGAAATGGCTTGCAATAATGCTTCTACCCACATTTGGTGGGATCAGTTTCATCCAACGGCTGCAGTCAATTCGATATTGGCTGATAATATCTGGTCTGGATTGCATTCAAATATGTGCTACCCTATGAACATGAAGGACATGCTTTCTTCTGGATAGATAAACACGGAGGATATATCTCGCTCTGAAGGTGCTTCTCTCTGCAACCTCAAGATACATGTGTTTGTTTTCCAAGTGACAAAAATTGGTAAAAGTATATTATACTGTATAGCTTCTGGAGTTCTGCACTAACACCCTCCTATGTGAGAAAATTTTGTATAGTTTCTTGAGAATTACATAGATATATGATAATATTGTTCTTCATATATGCTTCTTAGTAAATCTTTTCGTCTGTATCATTCCTCTGCACAAAACTTGGAAATGCTGTTGTAATGTCCCTGTAAAAATGAAGACAAATATAATGATTTCTGGTAGCAATGTCACACATTAAATCTTTTGTGGTGAAATTGAACAAACTGTAAAACTATACTTTAAATATGGAATTGTCATATTCTTCAGTATGGAAGGAGTTCTAGCCACAAAACCCTCCCACTCTTCCAGATCAATCTTCCCATCACCTTTAGAATCTGCTTCTTCAAATGTCTATGGAAACAGAAGAATGAAAATCATATTAGATCTGTGATATCATGATTTGCTTCTAACTATTAGGCAAGCATAATGATGACCTTGTCAATTATTCCTTGGATGATGTCGTCTGAAAGGACCAAATCAGACTCGTCTAGAAAGGCCAAAATCATCACTCTCACCTGTCACATTATGCCATATGAAAACTAAACTCTTGTGATTGTTTTGTGCCCTTCTCAAAATTAATGCTGCTTGCAGATATTAGATGGTAAACTGTAAGAAAATTCACTTCAACAAACCTCTTCGGGCTCTATGTAACCTGTTTCCCATATGTCGTATAGCTGAAATGTGACTGATATTGCCGCATTGGAAACAAACCATTAAAACCTGTCAACCAAATGCATGCAGCAGGGAGCAAATAATTTTAATTGATCACGGAGATAGAAGTGACAACCCTACAGGTAGCTTTTTCAGTCTGTGGTGCATTTGGATGGAAAATGCTTAAACCTTGGACAAACTCTTCAAAATCTATCATCCCGTCATGCTTTGAATCAAACTGATTGAACATCTGCTAAAAGTGAGCAAAAAATTAAAATGCAAGTATGGATCTTGGCATTGCTGAATGCACTTCTCTTATCAAAAGCAGGTGAGTACTGATAAGTTTACCCTGTCAGTGAAAATACTTTGTTCTCTTCTGTCTCTGAACAACCCAACTTGAAATTCTTCCTGCACGTAAAAATGCTAACATCAACTCTGAAGAAAAATATGGAAGATGTTTTATACACTTTCTACTCGTTTTTTGAAAGAAGATCAAAGCATTTTGAAGTATGATGTAAATCTAACTCTGCTAATGAAGCCGTCATCAACTATTGAGCTGCTCAACCTTCTGTATAACTCGTATAAGCTCTCCACCTCAGTCACACTAACTGTAATTTGACCCATCAAACTTAGATCAACAACTCAACAAGGGTATGTATATATATGATCGAAAAGAGTAAGTTATGATTGTAGCTTACAATGAGTTTGAGCTGCCAAAACAGCTGAATCTTTACTTCTACTCCTCTCTTTCATGCAACAGCCACCCATTGGTTTATTTGTTGGCTGACTGCTCTAGGAAGATTGCGAAATTGTGAAATACTGTGTCTGTTCTGAGGACAAATGCCTAATTGGTAGCATGAACTATTAGACTTCTGAGATGGTTGGAAATAGTGACACAAGGCTCAGAGGTTTCTCATCAAGTATTCAAAGGAAAAGCAGCACAAAGGTACAGTTGTTTAGAAGGAAGGTAGTCTCTGACTCTCTGCAGCAATTGTATACAGAATATATGGAAAGTCAGAAATTTGGCTTAATGGGTAATTACTGTAAATCTTTCTATTACTTCTTTTTTGTATTACTCCCTAATGAGTTATATAATCGGTTGTTCCTTCTATCTAGAATTATTTGTCACATATGCAAATATGCTACCTTAGGTTCTTAGAATGCCCGGAAAAAGTTGTTACATGTCCTAACTAGTAATAAAATATAATTAATTTTTTTTTTCATGCACCTCTATTTATATTGTCATAGACTCATAGGGTTAGGTACTTAGGTTATAAATGACCCAGTTGTTATAAACATAATTTGTAAAATCATATCAAACCCTAATTTACACTTTTTTTAATACCCGTATGTTTTTTCCTTTCACATCCCTTACTTCTACATAAAACAGTCCCGCACCATCAATTTGTTATCATTTTTAATCCTCATTTCCTTTACAAATTTCACTTACACAATTTTTTTTTTACAAAAAGCGCTAAATCGCATAAAGCCTTGTGCGGGTCAAGGTTGCATTTAAAAAAAAACAGAGGAAGTATGTTTTTGGTAATTATCTTTTCGTTATTTGTTTTGTCATAATGTATGAGGTTGACATGGTTAGCTTATAACCGCTGACTGATCAGCGTCAAAATATTCCTAAAATTATTTTTTGCCAGGTAACTTTGTTGCGTGTTCATATGGTTTTTGTTAGGAATCTGATTCCTCCTTTATAACAAATATCAATCCGGCCCTTTTCTTCCAAGATTTTAATTTAGCAGCTCATGCTTGATCTTTTTACTTTCATAAAAGAATGTAGAGATGTGCTGTATATCTTCACAATGATCATTTCAACAAGTTATGGTATATATTCTCCTGTTTGCCAAATCTATGATCACAAGTTCAGGACAAAGAATATGTACAGATATACAACATTATAACCAACTAATCAATTGATGACAATTGACAAACAGCCATATAAAAATCTGAGTTGTTGTCAATATCCATACAATAGCTAGGTTGATGGAATGATGCTTCCGTGCAGGGCAATATTCTGAACAAAAGCTGCCTAAGGATTTGATTTCAACCTGATGCTATTACATTGTAGCCGGTGATCTTCCAAGCTTCAGCACGGTTTTTCATTACAGTTTTGATCAGTCTGATGCTTAAACTTCAACACTGATGTTTTAGGAAAAGAAAACCGTCTATTATTATACTAATAGATGTGTGACTAAAGACGTACATTAAATAAGCAAGCGTCATGTTTTTCAGCAGTGATGGATTCCTAAACACGAAGCCACTCCATTCATCTAGGTCAATCCTTCCATTTAGATTGGAATCTGCTTCGATGAAGGCCTACACATATAACAGCACCATATAAATCTCATTCCCTGGTTGCCATTGAAAATATAAAAGCTGATACAGAATCAGCTCCATGTGAATATGATTCCAATATTGCTTCAACAATATCATCTGGTAGTTTTATAGCCAGGACAACATTTCGAAATTCCTTTGCTTGATCACCTGTGAAGATTATAATTACAAAACTAGAAGACCAGAAGAATAATTTAAACAGACTTAATGACAGTATATATGCTAATTTCTTCGTGAATGACAGAATGAATAAATCTATTATGAGTATTAAACCAGTGTAACTTGATTATATCTTGTATAATGGCAAACTTATAAGTCTCGTTAGAGAGAATGTTAAAGAAATCTAAGTTTCAAGGTGAAAATAAATGTCAGAATAAAAGAAAGACCTGAAGATTACCTCTTCAGTTCAATATAACACACAAAAAGATTCTTATGTAAATTAGCATCACAAAAATGCTACCAAGTATAGGGAGCAATGGCTGTTTTTTTTGTTTTACTTTTATTTATTGCGTAGTATATTATAATCAAGAAAAGGATCCTGGAAAGATAGCCAAGTAAATAATGAAACCGAAAACTAGCTACTTACCTAGGAATAATAGTTTGCAAAGGATATCATCACTCTTGCAATCCAAACAGATTAAGGTTTAGAAAACTGAATAAGCTTATTACATAATATCTTGTCTTCCGCAGGAGACTTGGGGTGGGAAATACAGAGTGACTATACAAAATTTCTTTTTTGAGTACCCCATTATGTTTGAGATCAAACAAATCAAAAACCTGCTGCAATCAGATTCCACGAGTTAAAAAAAAAACGTTTACAATAACATAAATTCAATGATCTGCAACGTAGGAAATTCCAATGAAATATTTACTGAAAGTGCATTCCTTCAGCATAATCTAATCACATTTTGCAACACATTCCTCTGAAAAGGAGAAGTTATAGAAGTTTAATGACACATACTGACATACCCTGTCTACAAAATGATCCGGCTTCATATCTTTCGCAGTATGTCATAAATCTGTAAGCAAAGACCATAAATTGATTTTTATGAAACGCGGAACTAGAAACTTGATTGAATACAAGGTGTCACTAAGCATATCCTCTAAATACGCAGTAATATTGCTGCAAATTACCTATAGTGCTGAATAACAGAAGGCTGTGAGCATTTTGCTAAAAGGCTTCTTATCTGGCATATAAGCCGCATCCTTTTCACAAGTGTGATCTGAACCATGCATGGACAAATTCACTTCTAATCAGAACCAGCATCTTGCTTCACTAGAAATATGAATCAAAAGGAATTTACCAGCATAATTTATTTATTTTTGACTGCCGTTGTCTATAAAGTGATCTGGCTCTCCATTTTTTACCTAGAAGCACCTGTTGAAATGATTCAAACTAAATGCAGGAGGGGCATGATAGTCACTCATTAGCAGACAGCCACATGAAAGACTAAAACTGATCGTGTAGATTATTAAGGTTTAAAATAGACTCATTATTTCTCAGAAGATTCATAAATGAGGCCATCATCAACTATAAAACTGCTCAGCCTCTAGTAAAGAGCATACAAGGCTTCCACTTCATTTACAGAAACTATAATATTGATGATGAAGAGCACACAAAGCACAAATTAATGGCAAACAATAAGTATCAATTTTATCAGTAAGCGGCATGATTCCAGGTACAGAAATTTTAACATGACAATGGAATAAAATCTCAGGTCAGAAAATAATCCATACTTGTCAGATTGAAATTTCAGAGTATTGATCTCTATGTCTTTGCACGAAACTACATAAGAGGATTTTTTCCACTTAAGGAGCTTACAAAGAGTCATAGATGCAAGATGAGTATCTAGAATGATTCAATTGTTCCTTTTAGTGCTTTACATCCATAAGAACGACTAAAGGTCCGTTAGTACAAATACCATAGTCTATACAAATGAACTTGTAGCTACAAGCTTCATTGCAAGTTGGAAATGAGTTTCCAAAGGCCTCTTAGCGTTTATTTTATCAGATAGCCCCAGCATCAAAATACAGTACCTTAAGCCTAGTAAGCAACAACTGACTAGCTGCAGGGGCTGGGTTACCCACAGCCACCTTTCTCGCTGCTTCCCCAAATGATCTCCAAAATCAGATTATTGTCCTCACTCATTATCAATTTCTAAGATTCAAGGTCTACTTGATTGTATGAATATGACTAGTATCTGCTACTAAATGATACTAACACTGATATAAAGAATATATTGTATGATTACTTCACTAGAAATGGGAGTGTCAAAACATTGTTCATAATATATGAGCATCAGGACTCATTCAATCAATATTTTGTACACATGGGGAGCACATTAATGTGCAGAAATTACATGAATGGATATAATCTAACACATAGCATTCCTCAGCAATAAATTCTCCATTTAAAAGTAGTTACGCCCACATATCATACCGAATGATACATTCTGATATTTCGGTTTTTGCTGGAAGACTTGCTACTGTTTGAGCCACTAACATCCCCTTCAGCTCTTAGATCTAAATCACAGACTTCACTGCTGATGAAAAAGCTTGGGAATGCAGTTGTCAGCTCCCTGAAAGTATAATATTTATAGCAATCAGTGAACTTAGCTGCATAAGTTTCATATGTAATAAAAATAAGAAACAGAGAGAGCTGTCACGGTCCGAGTGATTCAACACCGGATCGTGCGGCGCGCTCTCGTCTATTGGCGACAAGGGAGCAAGCCTAAAGCAAAGGAGGTTCGTGAGCACACAGCAACACGGACCTAGGGTGTCTCAAGAGGGCACACGATGACAACGAGTGCGGAGTTGGGGCTTGTGACGGCCGATACTTCGAAGCGGGCACAAGCGGAACCGACGAAACGAGGGCGTCTCCGGGGTCTCTTGGTTTGGTGGGGGATGCTTTAAAACAAGGCAAGCACAATATCTATAAAGGCTTAAACAACACACAAGTCTTAAAGCAATAGCAACGGGGTAGAGAGCTTTGATGGAACTTGGAAAAAGCTAACAATTTACATTAGATCCATGAATATCAGAACTTACTTTAAACAAGGAAGTGTCATGTTCTTCATGAGCAATGGGTTGCTTGCCATGTATTCTCTCCACTCTTCATGATCAATCTTTCCATCTTTTTTAAGATCAACTTCCAAAAAGGTCTATTGCCATATAACAAACATGTAATTAGAACACAGCATCCAAAAAACCCGTACACACTCAAACCCTGGCCCTTGTCAATTGGAGAAATTTTGTGGTTGTTGATGGTAGCAATCCAAATTACTCGAGTATATTGTAATATTAGAAAATTCTTCTCCTAGGGATCATATGAAATACCAGCTAACAAATTAAGTTGGAATACCAGCTAACAATTTAAGTATTATATATGTGGGGCCACAATTACATTCTATGTGACAAATTAGAGATAAAGACAGCCTACTGGTAAGTCTTAAAGAACTTAGATTCTGTATGCACCTTCTCTAAGATTGTTTCAACCAGGTTATCAGAAGGTTTCACATCTAGTTCCTCAAATATTGCCAGGAGCATTTCCTTCAACTGGAGAATCAGATATCACAGAAGCAAAATTAGATCCATATGTAATCAAAAGTCCTGAGACAACAGCAACAGCAGTAGCAGCAGCAAAGTTACTCCCTCCATCCTCTAATAATTCCACATTACAATTTAGGCTTTTTTTTAATTAGTTGATGCACTTCCATTTCACTGATTTCAGGTAACTTTTTTCACAAAAGACTTATATGGACACAACTTTTGGTGGTGGGGGAACTTGTCTCTTTTACTTATTCTTGATTACATGGACCCAATTCATCAACCCATCACCTCTATATTTTTACACTAAGAGTGCCAAAACCTGAACAAATGTAGAGAACGGAGAGAGTATGTAAAAACACAAAAATAGGGAAGCTGTGTTTCGTTGATGATGAGCCAATCTCTATATTATCTCTCATAAATTAAGCTGAACAGGGAATAAATCATTATAGTTTGGCAGTATTGTGAACTAAATGGCAATATAGTATACTGCAAAATGGTTTACATGTTTACCTCTTCACGCTCAATATAACCAGTGTTCTGTACATCATAAAAGCTGAATGCAACTGCAATATGATTCCTGGTACATTAGTTGCTATGAAGTTCTGTAAGCAATTAGTAAATTACTGATTACTCAACAACTTTTTGTAAATACTTAGGGAACAATCTTTTAAATATTAGAAAGAAACATACAGCTTTTGGGAGCTTGTACATCAGTCACAAAAACATTCTTTGTAATTCAAAAACTAATGATCTATACTCAGGCTTGGATGAAGTCAACTAAGAAAATTTAGCAGTAGGGAGTAATTTCATACAAGCAATTTTGTCTGCCTCTGGAGTGCTTGGATGAAAAATACTCAATGATCGGACAAAGTCTTCAAAGCGAATCACTCCATTATTCTTGAGATCAAACATTTTGAAAACCTGCAATGAGACTCCATGCCATGAATAAAGTATACTCTAGCTTAATCCCGGCAAAAGAAAACTGTTTGGCCACTTAATCAATTTCACCTACCAATATGCGATAATTCTTTAACTGTGTTCTACAACTTCCCTAGCCTTGTATATAGTTGCACTTAATCTATTTAAAAAAAGGTTGTGCTAACCACAACCTTTAGGTCTGTTAATAAGCATTATATAGCGTACATTTGTACAATTGTACCCAAAGGTTCAGTTGAGAATCTATGATAAAACCATCCACCATTCAACAATTCTAGAATTTGAATAAGAGAAACTTGCATAATAAACACGTTCAGACATTCTTCACTAATAAGTAACAAGTTATAGAAATGTTGGAAAATCGGCAAATAGTTCAAGGTCCATTAAAACCCATAACAACAAACTAATAATAGAAGCCAACAATACTTTATTCAAACAACAGTGTACTGACAAAAATCCAGTAGGGATTAGAGGCACTAGGTAGGTCCAACAAAATGTGGGACTATTAGAGAATAATACTCAGGAGCTTAGAAGGCACGAGATCATATTTAAATTATAACACTTTTATGAATTTATACGATATACTAAAAAAAAAATACAGGTTAAAATAGCAATATTCAACCTATTACACTCATGGATTTTATCTTGTATACAGACAGAAGTAGGACACTCCCTAAATATCATCACCATCACTCTTTTTTAAATTAAAGTCCATTGGCAGCCAAAAGTACTCATACCCGAGCATATATTTTTATTTGTACAACTTCCCTTACTATAACTTTCCATTTGAGTGGCTAAACACATTTTATTCAGATAAAGCAAATACCTAGCTAACAACAACAAAAATTAGACTAATCCAGAACAAACGATATTTATAGAAAACATGAGGGACATGACCGGCTGAGCCTAGGAAGTGTATTCCTTTGCAAAACACTTCTAAGTGGGACCTACCATGCCTTACTGCAGAAAGCACATGTATGAATTATGGATTATGGAAGAACCCTTAAGTGCCTATTTTTGTTTAAATCAACACCAATCAGCATTTTCCTTCAATAAATCTTTAGCATCTACATATAAACACATATTTACGCTCATTTTTTCTTCAATTTTCATATCTATAATATTAACTATTTTATCCTTATGTAGGAAGAAACATTGGGAAAACGGTGAGATTTTCGTACTAGTGAGAGGTAGATACAGGTTTCTCGTGTTAAATCTAAGACTTAACTGATACTAGTAATTACAAGATCAGATGCTGATTTAAAACAAAGATAAGTCTATGTATTTCCTTCAATCAGCCTGCCTGTACTGTTTCTTAGAGGAGAGAAAGGGGAATTGAGATCCTTTTCCAAGAAACAGGTTTTAGATTTTCCAACATTAGATATGTGCAAGAGGGTAAACAATAGTAACGTATTGAAAATAATTATCCTAATAGCGGGAAGGAGAACAAATTCTTCTAAGAGAAAGGGTCGCCAAATTTTTTACACATGCCTTATACTCCTTGTCTCTCCTTCTCTTTACTGTTTTAGAAAGTAGCTATATTTTCCTTGATGAATCACAGCCATAGACTAGTCTCGTATATATATTAGCATCTACATATAAACACCGATTTTTGGAGCAAAGAATTGAAATAACTAAGAAGTAATAAGATCATAAATAATTGCTGACACAGACCAAATAGCACAGACAAAAGATGATTGGAGAGATGCAAGATTCCTATCTTATAAGTATAGCTGTATAGGGATATGACAAAGTAAGGAAATCTTAAGAAACAGCAACTGTAAATCTTGAATAACAGGAACTTTAGATCATGCTTCTCAAGCCTTCCAAGTGTATGTTGATGGAAGATGAAAAAGTTATTCCTACATTTCCATTTCAGTATAAGACTTTCTTGCCCAACTTTTCCTTTGCTGCAGCTTTGATGGTGTATTTGCTGCATTGTGAGGCCAATGATTTAGACGTTGACCTCACTACAAATTACTTTCATCCACCTCCCTTTCCCTAGTTCTAAGTCCAACAAGTTGTAAAATTGACATACATCTTATCATGTAAAAATAATTTAAGATCCTTTATTTCATTGGTGATATAGAAAGGTAGAAATTATGACAAAAGTCCCTTCATAAAAAAGAAGAAAAAGAAGAGAAAAGAAAAAACAGAATGTTAGGATGGAACACATACCCTATCAACGAAAAGGTTTCGTTGACCGCAGTTCCCAAGAAGAGCCAACTGAAATTCTTTCTGCAAAAAGAATGCTAAAAAATATCAATATTCTCCAAAGTAGGTCCAGCTGAGTAACAACTGTTGCTTTGCTAAAATATAAGTCAACTAAGGAGATCAAGAATGCTACAGTCGATCAAATACCTTTCCACTATTTTAGAATTATATATGTATACTTAATAAAGATTAAATTTGTTAAAATGCTCCCTCACTGAAGATGTTAAAATAAACTGAAGCAGAAGACATTAATTTGAGGATCACAGGAGAAACAAAAGAGAGAAACTGTTGAAGATTAACTTTGTAAAGCATTATGCAAAAAAGTAAATGAAACATGGAAATAAGAGTAAGTGAATAACTATATACCTTGTTAATCTGGCCTTCGTCAATAGCAGAGCTGCAAAGTCTTCTATAAAGAACATGTAGAGCCTCGACTTCATTTGCAGAAACTGAACCACAGTAGAAAAAAATATATATATAAATAAAAAGAGAGCTCCAATATACAGCATCAATTGTGACTAAAATCATGAGATTGTTACAAACTACCCAAAGTAAAGGATCACAAGAAAACTCTTTTTCTAGAAAGCACATGGAAGAAGATAGGTTTTCAATACTGTGACTCGTGTAGGAAAAGATAACTCTTTAGAAAATTATTCTTCTCTGAGATAAGTAGCTCTTGATCCATAGGAGCTATAGGGGCAGACCCTTTCTCCATGGACTCCTTTGGCACAAACTCACCCCTTTTTACTATGTTTGAGTGAAAAGATTATAGATACTTACAAGGTGTTTCGGAAGCAAGAATGATGCTATTACAATAACCAAGGTTATTCCCACCATTCTTTGAATACATGCAACCCATGAAGAAAACCAAATTCTTATAACTTACAGATAAGAGAATGCACTCCTAACATCCCATTCTATGAATAATTGGATAAGTCTTTTGAAGTAGTTATTAGTTATGGATTTCATGCTAACAATATGTCAGCAGCTTGATCATTGACAGTTAAAGAAATGGAGTACTATATTGGTACCATTGTGTCATTGTGTGTACCTAGTTGTACCAGATATCTTCTCCATATTATTAAATCATACTTTTTAAGCTGTCAGTTTTCCGAATTCTGTTGGGCAAGACGGCCTATCATTGGAGCATGTCAGACATAAAATGGCATTATTCTTCAAGATTTACAGCTTGCACGTGTCAAATACAAAGGTTCCAACACTATTGCAGATTTGCAGGTCAACCAGGGTTTTTATAAAATGTACAATGCATGGAAAAGTCAAATAGTGAAATAGGTCATGTTTCAGATGTTTGTTGATGGTTAGATGTACCCTAAAGCACATTATGACAATGTAAATGAAGATGCTACTTTCAAAAACGGCACGTGCATAGCGTACTCGAACCTACAGACAAGAACAACATGTGCCACAGGCCTAAAGTCCTATGAAATTTTTTTGTTTTCTCATTGTCCTGCCTTCAAAGAAAAATTATATCATGAAAAAATTGTACACATTTCATTAATTCAATACACATACAGATCTTTATATCGGCTCCTCGATCATAATTCTACTTAACAGAATGAATTAAAGGAACAATTAGAGATACTCAAAAGTCTTAAATTCCTTTAACTATGTTCCCTTGCTAACCTACATTGGCTACATATAATTACTTCAAAGTTAAAATAGGACCATAAACTAAACTAATCAAAACAAGGAAGACTTTGTTGGCATTCATTTTTAAATACATGAACATCAATATTTAAATGCAAGATTCGAATATTTTATATCCCAAGATCATGACTTTGTCTCTGATTTCACCAATTCACCCTACTTAACCTAAAAGAAACGCTTTAATAATCAATTAATACCATTAAATTAAAACTTATAGCATTAAATTAATAAAACCCATGTACTAAATCATATGATTCATATCATATACTATAATTTAATAATCAAAGGACTTGTACCAAGAAAGAGCCTCCCCTATATCATACCTTGAAGAACATAAAAACAAATAAACGATGAACAGGTGAGTACTGGGTAAGTTTTCACTGGGGCATTTCATCAAACACTTTGAGGGCATAGCCGGTCCCTTCTTAACCAATTAACAATTTGGTAGGTGTTTAAAGGGTTGAATAAGTCTGAAAATTTGCGACATTAGACGTCACAAAAACGACCTTTACTTTGAATGAAAAGGTGAGGTTTTATTCAGGGGTTTTGTAATATTATATGGGTTTGAACAAGTCGAAGTTTATATGTTTATCCAAAACAAGACGCCATTAATAAGCAACAATCTGTGCATGATGCTGGGTTGCTGCTGCAGTGACCAAGATTTGACTAGCATCCCAGATTACCAGTTGTAGGAGTAAGGGTAGCACAAATGGAGGAACTGAGTAAAGAGTTTTTAAGGAGGGAAAAAACGTTTTTTTTAACGGTTTCTTGTTAATTGGTAGTGATACATTGATACTCAAATAATGGTACGGAGTAGTTGATTGATTAAAAACAAAAGAAAAAATTGGTTTTAATAATCTCACTTTTAGGGGCTACTTCAAATAATTAGAGGAGAGAGAATATAAAAATACGGAGTAATAAAATATATCACGGTGATTCATTAGGTGAGAGAAATTAATTTAATATTGTAAAAGCTTTTCAAATAAGGAAATTTCCCACCAACTCCACTAAATTTGCTTGTATTTTTTTTGGGGAGGGGGGGATTTTCTATGTGGTAACCCTATGTGATATTCACTTTTTCAAGTTGTGCCCCTCCCTTTTCAAACTTCCACACTGTAACCTCAAAGTACATTAAGTGATGACGCTATAACCTTGACGTTAACCTTCCGTTAGTTGTTGTTAGTATTAGTGAGGCACTTTACACCTATAGTATTTTTACATTTCTCTCTCTTCCACTTGTATAGTGTAACAATAAAAAAACGGATGAAGTATATAAACTCTCAACCCATGCACAACATAATGTAGTAGATGCTGAATGTGTTGGGCCATATCTAATCCATAGGCTTAGTCATAGCAGCCCAATGGCCAAAATACTATTTTGCAAGGACCAATAGATGATACCCTTTATACTATGTGCATGAATCTTTTGACAAGTAGTCTCAACTCTAAAGCATTAATTGATGAATCGAGAGCGGTCCCGTTTGAGCCATAGGGTGAAGTATGAATGTGAGAGATGAAAGCTAAAGTTCACATCACACGATTTATGTGTAAAAATATTTCATTTTAAATACTGCATTATTTGTAGATTTTTTTGTGAATATTCTAAAAATTAGGGGTGTCTATTCGGTTTTCGGTTTGAATTTAGTCCAAATCCGATCCAGTCCGAAATATAATTCGATTTTCAATTTTCCAATCCGATCCGATCCAAATTTCTCTCTTGATCCAATTCGAATTAAAATTCGGTTATTTGGATCTGATCCGAAAATCAAAATTATAATACATTATTTTTTTAGTGCCTAATACAATTATAAAAATAAAGCTTTACTATAAATAAAAGTCTTCAAAATCATGATTAAAATACATAGTTCAACGTCAAGTCATTAATTAATTAATACAAAGTCTCTCTAATTTATTTTATGTAGTATTAAGTATTTGAGCTAAACTTCAAAATATACAAAAATCCATATTTATACAAGCTTAATTTTACAATTCGGTTTTCGGTTTGGATTGGATCCAATTAGGGTCAATCCGATCCAATCCGAATTTCCAAAAAATCACAATCCGATCCGATCCGATTTAAAGATCTGATCCGATCCGAATTGATAATTCGGTTTGGATTGGATTGGATTTCGATTTTTATCCGAATTATGGACACCCCTACTAAAAATGAATACATGAAGAATATAGTTGAATTGATTTTGGTACATATCCTTGGTGTAGTAGTTGCCTAGTTGGTGCCTTGGTATGGGCTCATATCCCACAACCAGCAAGTTTATCTAATTAAACATTTTAAAAACTGTTATAGTTAATTTGCACTACCTACTTTGCAAAACTCTAGCCTACCCCTTGCTCCTGTTTAGCCCGTTCCGCTTTGTGTATGGCGCAAAGGTTTGTGAGTGAATGCAAATTCCCTCACTCATATGATGCATTAACTAATTATACTTATGTTCTTCAAATTTGGTGTGTGTGGTCTAGTGTCATAGTAACTAAGTAATGATTTTAACAAGGAGCAGAGAAAAAGAGAAAAAAAAAAAAAACCTAATTGCTACTACTTGATATGTAAACGACTACAAATTAAAATCGCGTACAATTACATAACATGTGTGCACTTGACAATACTTTATGATTTGAGAGGAGACTACAATGGACAAGATATGAACTCCCAAATATTCAATTCTAGGAGAGACAGAAGAGTACCTATTCATGCTACCGAGTCACAATTCGTTCATACATGACTCTCTTTGCATAATTTGACCTTGATTACCTTTACTATATCTTTTACCCAAGGGCGTAGCCAAAGGAGGGGCTAGTGGAGGCCCGGCCCCCTGTGGCCCAATTGCTAGCTCTTATTTTTCAAAAGCTGGCCCCCTTAATATTAGTGTAGATATTATTAAAGTGTCACAATTATATTACTATACATGTTATAGCTCAATGGTAGACTAATTATAATTCCATTTTGGGCTAGAGTGTAGTTTGATCCCTGATACAAGCTTTAATCCTTATATTTTTGAAAATCTTACCTATTTCTTTTAATCGAATCATTCTTTTATTAATACTTTGGCTTCTTCTTCTTCTTCTTCTTCTTCTTCTTCTTTATTTTATTTTATTTTATTATTTTTTTTTTTTTGACAAACTACTTTTGCTTCTAATCCAATCTTTCTTTTATAAATTTTTTAATATATGGTTTATGTTATACAGGGAGTAGAATAATACATTTCAACCATCTTCGACCATTTTTTATAATCGCAACATATTAAATTTTACACTATTTTACGCACTATTTTTTTTTATTTTTTTTTTACCTTTTTTGTGATTTGTATATTGGGAAACAATAGTCATGTAAGACATTGTTAGAATTGTCTTGATATTAATAAAATTTACTAATATATAAGTAAGGTAACATATTAACGCCAACGGTATATATAAGATACATTATTGACAATCATGAAATTCCTAAAGTAATTATTTTATTAAAAAATTTAAATTTATATATTAGTAAAAAAATTATGGTCAAAGCTAATTTATAATAGTCTTAAAGTTATTGTGTTGTGAAAAAAAACGTAGGAGATACAATACGAGTATTGTACTATTTTGTTTAATATAAACTTCGGCCCCCTGAGTCTTAATTCCTGGTTTCGACCTTGCTTTTACCTTTAGTTAATGCCCAAAGTTTGGTTAACTTTTTACTAGTTTGGCTCCTCAGCAATAAAAGTCTCTCTGTCTTTCTTCCATCAAGTTTCCTAATTCTTTAGACGCCACAAACAACAAAGGTAGTTGTATCTCTTTTGAAAGAATTTTCAAGGCAAAAAGAGTTTATTTCAAGCAATCTTCAAGTTCTTCGGAATATAAAGATTCTAAGCTTTTGTTTTTTTAAGTTAATATATCTTGTTTTTTTGGGTATTTCACCCAATTTATCTCTTAGACTAATTCGAATTTGAAGATCAGTCGTAAATAGTTAGGTTTCACTCAACTCGACAATTTCGTGTAGAAGAAAAGCACGTTCTATGTCGCCATGGACGGAACTCACGGAAGTCTAAACATTGAACACTTGTTAGTTGTTACCGTGTCCGTGTGTAGATTTTCCACTTTATAGTTGGACTTTAATTACTCCTTTTTTAAAACGTTTTTTAAATTAAAACAAAAAAAAAAAAAATTCCCAATTTTCATACCAAGAAGAATAATTCTCCTTCCAATTTTGACTTACAAATTCAACAACAAATCATTTATCAATGGCACTCTTAATTTTCTCACTCTAACTCAGGTATTTTCTCTCTCTACAATTTCTTCAATTCCTCTCAATCCTAATTTGATTTTCTGATTTTCAGATTTTGGAAATGATTTGATTATGATTTGAACATTTTGGAACCCTAGATTGAGCGAATCCCTAATTTTATCCCGATTGCGTGTTTTGATTGATTTTATTGCTATATTTTGAATTTCATGTTGCAGATAGTTGGAAATTGAGTTGAATATTGCTTGAGAGGGGAATATGGAGATTGAATTACTCAATAATGTACAATCTGAAGAAGATACTGTTGAAGTTGATGCTGATGCTGAAATTGTAAGTTTTTAGCTGGATTTTATGTTTTTGAATTGTAATTCGAAGCATTTGATTTGGTTGATTTTGTGTTTTGATGATATTGTAGAGTGTTAGAGCTGGAATTTGTGTAGTGTACAGTTCTAAGGAGAGATTGCATGTGTTATTGTTTTTGAAGCTTGTTCTGATAGGAGTAATTAGAATGAGGTAATATGATTGGAAAAGACCAACTAAAGGTTTGATATGATTTTGCATTTCACGCCGCTGAACCCGAAATTCTTGGAATTTTGTATGAGTTTGCTTTAATATCTTTGTATTGATATTATTGGATTTCTTTGCTAGAATGGATCCAAAGAAGTTGGATAGGGAACTATTTTGGTATCTTAGTTCAGTTAGTTGAAAATGTGAGTAGCCTGAGTACAATTCTATTGTTGTAATTTACTGATGGGAGATTCCTGGCGTTCCTCGTTTCTTTCAACCTTGTGCTTTGACGTTACAAAGGATGATCATAAAGTTGAACACTGTATATTGATGTTAATGCAACTTGAGGAGAGAATTTACAATTATCTATGCGAAAGGATTAGTTAAGTTTAGTTTTTCTGCCTCTACTGTAAGAACTTGAAGGTCTGCTTGCTATGGAGGACAGATTCTAATAAGACTATGGCTTTCCCAACAATGTTTTAGAACAATGTGTTTTAAGTTGGAAGACACTAAGACTGAGAACACTGATCAGTTATCTGTGTTGTTCCCATTTGTGTAATCATTGTTCAGTGGCTAGAATAATGGGTGAAGGTGCTTTGATGCCTCGGAATGAATGTGGAGCAAAGTCTGGCAGAAAAGATTGCCATTTATTTGCAGGCTTGGCTTGCTGATTTGAATAGGGAATACAGAAGTACTAGTTCCATGTTATGGAATTCTGGTGGATGTGGTGGTAGATTGGTTTATATATTGAATACTAGGATAAAATCCCGTGCAATAGATGCACGGTTGTTCAATAATTATTTAAAACGAATTTTTTTCTAAGGTCACGTGTAAAATTATACGAAGTATTCAACAATTTTATTTTTTAAAAGCCACATATAAAATGAATTTTAGAAAGTTTGGTTTATATTTTATATAAAGCAAATGTAATAATTGAGATAAAATCTTTTCTTAAAACAACGATTATTGGAGGATATTTTTTTTAGCAAGTATTATTGGAGGGAAAATTTTTAACACAATGCTGCCAAGTGTTATTATTGATTTCGTCTTTAGTAATATGTAATAGATTGTTAAAAATGAATCCTTTATTCTCTCACTTTCATTTATTTGATTTGGAATTAGGTATTTAGTACTTCACCTGTTCACTTAGTCTGAAGCAACATGGGTTTGTGGTAGTCTCTCCTTGTGAAATCTTGTGCAATTGAAAAAAAAAACTTCCATGTGAATGTATCGTCTTTTTATGCAAATTCTTCGATTATCAATAAAAGGAAATAGGGAACAGAAACGACATTGGTATATATTTGACGCATGTTTCTGTTGTTTTACCATTTGACTAACCCCACACTATCTGTATCTGATGCATTACATAAGATTTTGCCTTTTGATGTATAACATTATTTATTGTAGGATAATTTGGGTGCTGAGGGTGAAAGATGCGGCATATGCATGGATGTTGTAATTGACCGGGGAGTTTTGGATTGCTGCCAACACTGGTATGGAATCTTAAATGCTTTTTCAGTGACTTTGTTGACCTTTTAGTTCCGCCTGGTTATTAACTGTCGTATACTTTGGTTTCAGGTTTTGTTTTGTTTGCATTGATAACTGGGCCACTATCACAAATCTCTGCCCGTTGTGCCAGAATGAATTTCAATTGATCACATGTGTCTCTGTGAGTTTGATTTCTTCTTGTCACAATGGACAGATATTATAGCATCCTCAGACCCTGGATCGCCTTAATTGTTGTTCCCTTAGACCTCTTAGAAAACTGTTCTGAGTAAATAATGATATTTTACTCCCTCCGTTTCTTAATAAAGTTCCACTTTAACTTGGCACCTTTGCCAACACATAATTATTCATTAGTATATAGACATCCAGTTTTACTATCGTAGCATTTATAGTTTATATATTCTTAAAAGTAAATGACCAATATAAGCACATGATTACATGAATAGTGCAAATAGTCAAAAGTGAGACTTTTATTTAGGGACAGGGGAGTATGATGAAATTGCAATTGGTTCATTGTCAACTTCAAAGATCATCCTAACCTAAAATGTATTAACTTGGGATAATGTAGGTGTATGACACAATTGGCAGCAGCAATATTGATGAGGATATAGATTCCAGGTATCAAGTTGGTTATGTGTTGCTGTAACAACATAATGACAGGTCCATGAATGATAATTAACCAGCATGGTTTGCTTCTTTGCAGAGATGATGATTGGTGTGTTGAAGGAAATAACAACACTCCCTCCCTTCCATCTTATTACATTGATGAAAATGTAATTGTTCTCTTACTTATAAAATTTTGTCATTTGCATTACTACATGTAACACTGGTAGTAACTTTTGTGGGGAAAAACAATTCAGGGGTACTGTTGTTCTGATGTTGCTTGTTATTGGTAAATTGTCATTTTCAGTTCATTTCATAATCTAAGGCATTATATATATGACTTGTTGTTGGCAAGGAGGACTAGCTTTTTTCCTTTCCCCTGTTGTAGCTATTTAGGATCCAGGTTTTAGCCTTTTCCTTCTCTTGACTATAAGCGATAAGTTGATAACTGAAAATTTTCATCTGACTCTTCTACATACGAACAGTATATTCAAATCGACACACACAAAATGCCCCATCTCTTTGCTCTTGTCTTTAACAACTTTAGTAACTGTTGATTCTGGTGCTTAATTCTTTTATTTAATATGCATCATTCTGTATTTTCTGGAATTCTGGTCATGGATATGAAGGGTTTAACCCTTTATTTGGTAGAATTTATGTTTCAGCATGTTTCCTAGCTGAGGATGTTTCATTGGGGTTCTTGCTGCCTCTGCATTACGTTAACCCCAGTGTTAGAGTAGGTTTTCTATGTTTTATTGCTTTATAATTCAGAGGTGAGATTCAGATATTTTTGTGGATTCTCAAAGCTTTAGTTGGCTTGGTCTGAAGATTTAGAATGTCATAATCTAATGTTTGGCAATTTACTTCACTGTTTCGAGAACTGCAGGTATTCTGATTATCCATATTCCTAATAGACAATAATGTTGTGGCAAGTTGTAGCTAGTTTGCACATGATAGCTGTTTGTTTTTCATCGGTGTAACTGGTTTCTTGTGCTCATGGTGTTATGCTCTTATTATTGAACCTCGTAGCTACATATGGCCAACTACTGATTTTTTGGTTTTTCTTGGGTTTGTTTATGGAGTGGGGTGAGGTTCTTTTTTTTTTTTTTTTTTGGGGGGGGGGGGAGTTTTGATGATTAAGGGGTGACCATTTCAGTGGTTGCCAGAGTTGGTTTATTTTAATTACAAATTTAGGTATCTTGATACTTGTTCGTCATATGAGTCCTTTATCTTTGAAGCATCATCCTGTGATAGGCTGATAGCTAATTAGTATTCCTCAAATGCTATACACAAGCTTCTTTATGTATGCCCACTGTTTTGTAATGCCATTTTTCTCTAACAAAGAAATAAATAATTTTGGTCAGTTATTTGTCTTGAGTTATATGTTTGCTGATCGTTCACCATATCTTGCGTATGAGCTACAATTTGTTTAATTGGTTTGATTCTGGTCCCAATAAAATTCTTTTTCCGCGACCTGTCTGATTACTTTGCACTCTGTGTAGGCAGTTACTTGTTTGGATGGAGATGGCTGCAAAATGCGGAGTGGTTCATTGACCTATGAAGAAACAATGACCCTTGATACTTCTATTGCTTGTGATTCCTGTGATATATGGTATTATGTCCGGTCCTTTGGTTTTTTAAAAGGCAAATGTCAATCTATTCATGCTGTTGAGCTGTATCTTTGCTTACATTTTCAAGGCAGCACTGTAATTTGAAGATATTATTTGAGTAACTTATTGGAATTGTTTATTTCTTTGGTTATGTCTTCTGTTTGGTCCAGGTAGAACAATTGCTTGTTGCCCTACCCCGTGAAAAAAATATTGCAATTTTCTATCCTAAAAATATGCATTCTGATACCCCAAATAACTAGCATTTCTTATTTTTACTTTTTTGTTGGCCAGTTTTGGTGTTAGAGTAGGTAGAGTAACCAAGGAAGTTAGGTTATTGATTTGTTCTTGAATCCTTTTGGTGCTTAAAATAGCCAAATAACTTAGGTTTATAATTTTGGTATAAATACTCTCATTCTTTTTTAGTATGCTTTTATTTTTCCGTCTCTTCTTTTGTTATTCTTTTTTTGGGGTAGGGGAGTTGAGCCAATGTATAAAAATGCTCAAGGCGCACTAGAGCAATGAAGGTCCTGCTGCACCTAGGCACACCTCTTTAAAGTGAGGCGTACAATATAAACACCCAATTTATTTATTTATTTATTTTTATTGAAGTGTGCCTCTTTGAATGCGCCTCATTGTGAGCAAAAAAGCACTCTAACCTAAATGCCTAGTGCCTAAGGCGCTTGTTTTATACACTGAGCTGGGTTGATTGGATGGTGTCAGTAAACCACCATTTTCTTTACTCATCTTTGTTATTGGTTTTGTTTAGTTTAGCACTGTTTTTAGCTTTTGTCATGTTGGGGTTTTCTGGCATATGGGAGTCTGAAATTATGTTCTAATGTTTGGACTTATATGGTGGCAGGTATCATGCTTTTTGTGTGGGATTTGATCCTGAAAGCACAGGTGTAGATTCATGGCTGTGCCCTAGGTAATTCCGAAATGCATAGTATTTTTATTTTTTGTACTTAAGCTTTTTGAGTGCCTTTTGGATGTGATGCTTGACCTTCAGGTCATCTATTGCTTCTATATGTACAGCTGTGTTTTGCTATTACTTGGGTAGTTCCTTGTATGACCTGGAATTTGGAATAACATTAGCTGACGGATGAGCTGCATGCCCTATTTTTTCATAAGTCAGTTGGTGTGTGCATGATCAAAGCTCTATAGCTGGTAAACTAGACATTCTCTTAATATTTTGTAGACAATTCTGTTATCACTATTAATATTTTTGGTAAGGTGGTGTATCTGCATTGCCTATGTCTGCCAAGCTGTTAGTGTTAATTTATGCTGTGGTATAGCCATATATCTATGTATGCAAAAATACGTTGCCGTATAAACGTTTTAATACTTCTCTATGATCTGAATGTAGATGTCTTGTTAATGAAGTAGACCAGAATTCAGATCTCAAGGAAATGAATCTAAGGGGAAATAATGTTGATCGCCATCATCTTGCTGACACATCTTCTGGAAAAGTGTCCATATATGTTGCTGATTCAGGAGAAACAGCAGTGGTTGTCTCAAGGATTGATAGTGAAGATGCTGTCGACGAACCGAATATGAATGGTCAATCTACTGGAGAACCTACTGATCGCTGTAAAGATAAGCAATCGGGCTCTGATTGTTGTTCATCTGAGATGAAAAAATTACCAGATCAAGGGATTGATGCTATCCAACCAAAATCACATGTCCTTTCTGCCAAGTTTGTAAACACTGTTATAAAAAGTGAGCCAGATGAGAACGAATCAAGAATGTCTCTTGACCTCTTATCTTTTGCTTCAACCTTCTCTGGTAAATATGATGTGTTTAATTAGCTTATTGTCATCTTTGACACTTTTCCTATTGTCATTTTTATTAATTTTTTACTGTTTAATGTATTGGAAGATGACAAAGCTAAAATTTTATCAAGTGGAGACGAGTGTCTGCATGATGCTTCAACTAATGAGAGTTTGGAAGATGTGAAGTCTGATATTGCTCTGAGACTTGGTGTGAAACGGAAGCGTCCTGAGAACAGGTCTTTTTCTTTTGTAATGTTTTTTACTTCACTGAGTTACTTTTTCCCTCTGTCTGCCTTGTCTAAATATGTGTGTTTTCATGGTGTTCTGTTGACCCAATATGTTGTATGACTTCACTCTAACAGAGTGCTAGGAGTATTGTCTCTGAAGGGTAAATGAGGTTGCAGAGCTAGGTAACTTTATCATCTGCATTCAAATTCAAAGCATGGTCATTCAACACATAAAGTTTTCCAAGGTGATATGGAATCTCATTTCAAAGGTGATGGGGTCCACATTCTGGGAGATTATAGAGCATGATGGTTGAGAACTTTAGAAATGGCGTTGGAAGGTTAGAAAGTAAGAAAAGAGAAATTTTCAGTTAGAGGTCCATGAAAATAGCTATATGTACACAATATGCATTATACCTTATAATCTGAAGCCTTCCTTGGGCTGTCATTAATTAATACCAAATTAATGACTACATGGTTCTACAAATGTGGTATACCTGCAGGAGTGGCTGGTTTTGGATCTTAGGTGGTGGAGTGGGTTATATTGCAGCTCAACTTTTCGTTTATTTCCTGGTGCACTATGATTTGGGTTCTAGACTTCGTTGCAATACTTTTTTCTTGGAACTAATCCGATCCAATATCCAATATGAGAGTTGGGAGCCTTAACCTGGTAAATCCAGGTTGAATATTAGCTGATCCAATATACTTTAATGCCAGACTTCGGGTATTGTGGGATTTCAGGTACCTGATCTTGGACCAAAAATGATTTGTACTCTTTCTTTCTCCACTTTCTTTGGTACATGTCATTTTCTAGTTTGCGATGTTTAAATATTGAATTGGGCTTATAGTTGAAACTTGAAACATTTTCTGGTATTTTGTCTCTTTATTTTTTGAGAGTACAACTAAGTTATTAGAAGAAACTGTTTATCGGAGGTGGTCCATGGATTTATCAGATCCTTACGTGATTGGTCTGATTGTAGGATGTCAGGAATTCTGGGAGCTGGAACCTGCCCCATGACCCTAGTTAGAACCTGTATTTTGAAGCATTTACTTTGCGTTGGTCTTTGGACATGCAGATGTCAAACTATCTCTTTTTGTCCCTTTTGTGCTGTTTGGGGTCTTTTTAATTGACCGGCTCTCACCAGCATGTTCTTTTGACTTTCTTGGTTTTGAGTTCTCATTTTCCCTGTTTAAAGTTGTATGTAGTAGGCTATATTTTTGCGGTTTCATGTGATATTTGAGGAGAGTAAGAACAGTCTCTTTGTCCTGAGAAAATAATAGGATTAGAACTATGCTTTATATCCAACTTATAGGTAAACTAGTATTATCTTCATTGTGACCCTTCAATCAACCTATTTATGTGATGAAGCTTTTGTAATGGGTATTAGCCCATCACATAGGACTGCATGTGAATTCTCCTGGGGCTTGTTGACCAATTGTGGTATACTGATATGCAAAGTTTTGGAACAGGTACATATAAACAAATCCATGTTTCCAACTTGTAAAGGCACAATTTCAATGACACGGGACACAACCTTAAATATTTGACATAGGTGTAGGGATATGTCTTTCTAAACTTTCAGATAGAGCTTTTATCACGAATAATTTAATTAGAGCAACTCGAATGATAAGCTAATTTGACAATTAGCTTGGCATGTCACATAAGCTTTTAAGCTAATTATCATTGTAGCTACTTTGAACTCCAATGGCTAGCTATTAGCTTACAATTTAAATGAATTTCACCTCCTTAATTAACTTCTTATGTTTCATTTTATTGATTCCATTTTTTTACGAGTATTTTTATAGTAAGGGGTCGTTTGGTTGGGGGTAATCAGGAAAGGGAATGAGAATCAACTGGCCCGATTCCCTTTGTTGATGTTTGTTTACCACTTTCTTTCATTCCCTTTCCTCTCTTCATTACCCCAAATCCCTCTAAGTTCATTCCCCACCCCCCCTAGACTTTTCCATTCCATTCCCTAGCCACCACCACATCACCACCTTCCTACCTCCACACACCACCGAGAAACCCAACCACCACACCACCCATTGCTTCGCCGCCTCTCCGACGACGTTCGCCGCGTCTCCCCCTCCCCGTAAAACACTCTTCTCCTCACGCATACACTAACCCAGCCCCTAAAAATCCCTCCCTCTCCCCGCAAAACCGCCGTTCGACCCTCCCCCACTCTCTTCTCTTCTCCCTAGGGTTTTGAGGGTGGGGGAGGGTCGAACAGCGGTTTTGCGGGGAGAGGGAGGGATTTCTAGGGGCTGGGTTAGTTTCTAGGGTTCTCGGGGAAGAGAGGGCGGCGAATGTGCGGCGGAGGGCGGCGAATGTGCGGCGAAGGTGCGGCTGGTGGTTTGGTGGATGGATGGTGGCTACAAAAGGTGGAAAGTGAATGAATTAGGTGGTTGTGTGGTGGTGGGTTGATGGGATTGTTTCTAAAACAAACAACATAGAGAATATTGGGTATTTTCACTTCCATTCCCTTTGTTCATTCCATTCCGTTTACCCCGGGTGAACCAAACGGCCCCTAAGTTTTTCTCCAAGCAAATTATCTTGGCAATGCTAATTTGCTTAGCCAAGCTAATTGCATTTTCTAGCTCTTATGGTCAAGCTAATGGCTAGGGTTTTGTTTGATATTGCAAGCAAGTCCCTAGCTACAACCATTGGTATTCTCTAATAGCATTAAACTAATTATGTAATTGCAATTTAGTATGTAACTTACCATACTTAGCAGAGTCTTCTCTTTGTTGCCTGATTAGTAGGTCCATTTCATGTAGTAAGATTGCACTCTCTTAGGCCTCTCCATTGTACTCTCTCTATTGTCTTACTTATGATTTATAGGCGCAATTTCTGATTGCTAGGTCAAGACGTCAAGTATTGGTTATGGATTCTATTCTTTATCGAATATCAAAACTTGGTAACAATCAGACATGACTGCAGCAGACATATACGTAGTGATAGAAGAAAGTGTTAACATGGTGACTTTAACATTCCCTTATTTCTTATAAATACTGATTTGTGCTTTACTTTTTGTGTCCTGAAAAGCAGTTCTCAGACAATTGATTGCAATGGGCATCATGAAGGTAAGCTTGAGGGTGCATCTTCATCAAAGAAAGTAAAAGCTCAGAGACGTACCAGAAATACTTCTTTAAATGACCAAGCAGATGTCTGTGCTTCTGAGAACTTGAAGAAAAACAGAAAACCGATAAAAAGATCTGTAGATGAAGTAGACAAGAATATAATAGTGAAGAAGAGCCGACCTATTGATATAATGAGTATAGTCCAGGGAGTCAAAAGTAGCACAACAAATAGGTCTGCACGTGAAAAGGAGGCTGGTAAATGTGCTAAGGTAGAAAAAAGTGCAGCTGGACTACGAGTGAAAAAGATCATGAGGAGACCTGGGGAGGAAAAGGAGTCAGAAGCTGTAGTGCAGAAGCTAAGAAAGGAAATCAGAGAAGCTGTTCGTAATAAGCCGTCAGATGACATTGGGAAAAGCATCCTTGACCCTAATCTGCTAACTGCTTTCAGAGCTGCAGTAGCTGGATCTGTAGCTGAACCAGCTAAGAAGGTATCTTCAGCAGTGGTCAAAGCAAAGAAGTTAATGTTACAGAAGGGAAAAGCAAGGGAGAATCTCACAAAGAAGATATATGCAACATCTAGTGGAAAAAGAAGGCGCGCATGGGATCGTGATTGTGAAGTTGAATTTTGGAAGCACCGCTGCTTGACAACTTCTAAACCAGAAAAAATTGAAACTTTAAGAATGGTTCTTAACCTTCTTAAAAGGAGACCAGAAACCAAAATTGCAGATCAAACTTCTGAGGAAGACACTAAATCTCCTATTCTTTCAAGGCTTTATCTAGCTGATACTTCGCTTTTCCCTCGAAAAGATGATATCAAGCCTCTCTCTGTTCTGAAAGCAGCTGCTTGTTCCAACCATAATAACCTGCTCTCTTCAGGAGAAAGTACTATGGCATCTTTGAAAAGAAATGAGAATCCTGCTCTAAATAATATTGCTTCTGCTGATGACAAGAAGAGTGTTTGCGCCAGTAATAGAAATGGAGCTGTTTCCGGGAAACTTTATGCAAGTGGACACCCCGATAAGGTCTCTTCACAAAAGAAAACTACTGGTGAAATGAATGACTTTAAGATTGATAAAAGGAAATGGGCCCTAGAGGTTCTTGCGAGGAAAACAGCTTCTGATGTTACGGGACCCATGCAACAGAAACAAGAAAATGCGGCATTAAAGGCTAACTATCCTTTGTTGGTATGTCATAATCTCGTTTTAGAGTTTCCTTGTCTATAATTCATTAAATATTTGATGTATTTCTAATAAGCTTCTCTGGTTTCGTTGACTGAGCAGGCTGAATTACCGACAGATATGAAACCTGAACTAGCACCCACTCGCCAGAATAAGATTGCGATATCAGTTCGGCAGGTATTTGCTACTTTCTGTAATTGTAAAACTATGAGTGTTTGCTACCTCTGCTGCAATAACTCTTAAGGTCTGCTATGGTACAGAAATACACAACAGTTGGTCATGTTTAAGTTAAATTATTATTAGCACCTTATAAAATTTGGTGAATTAAAGCACCTTAATCCGTGATTAACAGTTTGTTTGGATAAAGAAATGGGAGGGTGGGGAAGAGGAGAGAAGGGAAAGTGAGGGGAGGGAAGAATAATGAGTTTTCCTTCCAAATCTCTCCATTGTAGGAGAGATCAATTTCTTACAATTTAATCCCTCCATTTGTCTCCCCTCCAATTCCCTTCATTCTTCATTTGTTATCCAAATGAAAGATATTCCAACCCTTCATTCCCTCCATTTCCTTCAATCCAAACACTCTAATAGAGACACCGAAAAGTGAAGCAGCTTATAGTTGGCATGAGTCTTTATTGTCTATTGCAGTAGAAGTAATAGTTGTGTGAGCAATACCCATGGATCTATGTAACAATCCATGCTTATTTATATCCTTCTTTTAAATGAGCCCTGTTCAAGAATAAATATGTAATATTCAAAGAGAGAAGTAGCAAGATAACTAAGGAGTACATCTGCCATTATATGGAAATTCAATAGTGAATTAAAGTGTGTCTAAAATAAATAAAAAATAATTGTGAATAAAAGTGTACAACATGTCCGATTGGGCTGAGGGAACAATATTTATCCACAAATTATTGTTTTCAATCTGCTGGTTAAATGTAGTCTATGAAGGCAGTCACGCCTTTTATTCCTCTTAAAGGTTTTTTGCTAAAATCAATATGGTGGACACTCTTCTCTAATACTGCTGTATTATTTTGAACTCAATAGGGTTGCTTTCAAGTGGTATCTATTTTCTGATCATTTAATGGAGATTATATGTTATATGTTTGTGTAAAATCATCAAAATAATCCACAAAAACATCATGGAGGACAAACATAATTACATTCATTCTAAGCAGCCACATATCCGATCATACACAGAGATATGATTAGAATACAAAAAAGAAAACAACTTTTATTTCAATAAAGGATATATGTATTGCTTATCCACAGCTGTGGAAATGTTTTTTCACTTTGTTTAGCATCTCATTAACATTGTTGAGGGGGCTGCTAAGTTATAGTTTTCTCTTACCGTTTCGATTGAGCAAATCTTTACAAATGATCCTTTACAAGCTACATCTAACTGTTCAATTAATTAGGACGTTTGATCTGCTTGACAGAACAACAGGATTATAATTGCTTGCTTGATAGAATGATAGGTTTGTCTAATTGATCAATCTACATTAAGGACTTATGCAGCTTTTTTTATACACAGACACAACTTTACCGCTTGACAGAACATTTCCTCAAGATGACAAATTTGTCATCTATTCATCGAACTGCTGAAACTGAGCTGGCTGTTGCAGATGCTATCAACATTGAAAAGCAGGTTGCAGACAGGTCCAATAGCAAGGCTGTCTATTTGAATCTTTGTTCACAGGAGATACGAAATCGTACAAATTGCAGTACTTCCAACACTCTGGCTGAACCCAGTCCTTCTAGCCCTGTACCACCAGTAGGCTCCAGAGGTTACTCTGAATCTACTCTTTCAAGCCCAGTACCAGTATCCTCCAAAGATGACCAATCTTCGACATCATCACCTAATTCTGAAGCTGAGGCAGCGTTGAGAGCTGCTGGTCTTTTATCTGATTCTCCTCCGAGTAGTCCACTCCAAAAGGTTGCTGATCTTAGTGGTGATGATAGTAAGCCTTTAGGAGAGGTCAAAGAAGAAGAATTAACAAGTATATTTGAAATGGATTGTCATCCTGATCTAGACATTTATGGTGATTTTGAGTATGATTTAGATGAAGAGGACTATATAGGGGCTACTTCAGTTAATGCATCAAAGGGGAAAGAGGAAGAGGGGGAGTCCAAAGTGAAAGTTGTTTTCTCCACTCTGAATACCATTGTGTTAAATAATGCTTCTGAGGCTAAAGAGCAAGATTTGCTGAAGACTGATACACTGAGCCCACCAGATTTACCTGCATGTTCTAATGATACGGGCACTGAAAGCTCACCCATGAAGGATAAGGTCGATTCTGGAGACACCTCTCTGGATGGAGAATGTGAAGAGCTCTCGGTCGCAGAATGTGAAGCGCTATATGGTCCAGAAAAAGAGCAATCAATCAAACAATTTTCTGACCTGTTTCCAGCCGAAAATTCTGATTTGCAGACAGCCAATAATCTTAATTTTAGTAGTTCCAACCAGAATAAATTGACCACTGATTCTGTTCACAGCATAATTGTTGGGGAAAATTCTTCTGACTCTTCTGTCTTTAGAGAAAAGGCTGACAGAGAGAAGAATGATCTCAAGGTTGACAAGAAAAGTGATCATGCTGAATCGGTGCAAAAAAAAGGTATTAACTTCCTCCAGTACATTTTTCTGGTTTGTGGTTCTTTGCTATTGCACATTAGTCAGTTATAGTCTTATAGATCTCTGCATAGATATTTACGTCGTTTATCAAAAACTGCCTGTACGCATAAGCTTAGGTGACATAATTGAATGATATTGGGTGCAGGTAGAAGCTTATATAAAAGAGCACATCAGGCCGCTTTGCAAGAGTGGTGTGATCACAGTGGAACAATATAGATGGGCTGTAGGGAAAACGACTGAGAAGGTGATGAAACATCATTCTAAAGCCAAAAATGCCAATTTTCTTATCAAGGAAGGTGAAAAGGTGAAGAAGCTTGCTGGACAATATATTGAGACGGCCAAGCACAAGGAAAATAAGTGAAATTTTATGTCATTTTATAACAAATTGATAAAAATTCCCATTTTCATTATGTTGTACATATGAACAGAATAGTGAGACAGACACTGTTGACTTAGGCAATTTAACCTAGCATAAATGGCAATCTGTAAAAAAAAAAAAAAATTAAAAAAAAATAAATAAAAAAAAAAAAAAACAGCAATTTCCTACTCAATTTAAATGTCCTATTCTTTGTTAGATTGTGATTTTATCGTAGTTTTGGTTACAATCAAATAATAAACAGAAGTACGTTGTAGCCATCCAACAATAACCAAATGAATAAAATTATAATCAGCTTCTGTTTTATCGACCTGAAGAACTGTCCATAAGAATCAAATGATCGTATTTTGAGAGTGACAAGAAGTATTGTATTTGCTTATCTAATCTTAATTACTACAAATCATTTAGACATAAATTTTAAGTAATGAATACTGTAGAAAGTAAATAATGGTCTAATGAACAATAAGTTAGTGATAACTGTAAGGTGTAGCTGTGAAATTAAGAGGGAAAACATGCTTTGTTGTTTGACCTTGTTTTAATCCAACACCGGCTAGGCAGCATTTGTATATACAAGTATAATGCTATTTGTAATAAAAATTCCTTCTTTTATTTCATGTTCTTTTTAAAGGTCACAAAATGAAGCCTCTACCAACTACACCACGAGCTACTTACAAAAGACGGTAGCTGATGTGATTACGAATGGAATAAAAGAGTTGTTGCAAGCACGCTTAAGAAAATGCTTCATTTGATTAGGGAGGGAGGGGATAAAAACAACAGAATGTGTACAATTCAGCATTTCCAGATGTTAAAGAACATTTTACATCGCAAGAGTATGTTTACACAGCACTTCCAGAAACAACAACTCCCTCGATACAGCTCTCACATCGTTGGAAGATGTATGCAATTGGAAGATCTTGAATCACAATTCCCCATCCATGAAAGAGTACAGCTTAGTCCGCCTTTGATTCAACTGAATCTCAATTTTGGAACCACATTACATTTAATACATTTATAAAATAGGAGATGCACATTCTTGACCCATGTAAACATATGCTCCTTCAGAACCCATCTTGTCGGCGTTATGGCTTGTTAGACTACAGTCACTAGCCTCTATGAGCATAATCCTCGAAGATGTCTAATATCATCACAAGACTACAGGTGTGATATGTATTTTTCCATGACTTGCCTGGTGAAACTCAATAGGCAAAAATTGTGAATATGACCAAAACAGGCATGCAAATCGGGGAAAGGTGACCATTAACTGCAAAGATTAGATATGCAAGCAGCAGATTCCAAATTTTGTTCTTTCCAAATTCTTCCAGTAATCCGAAGCTTAAGCTCTTTTTTATCCCCACCAGAGAAAAAAAGTGCTAATTTACGTTGAATGACAAGACCATCATGACTGTCTCTAACCTTTCTGTGGCTATCACGAATGCTTCGTGGGGTTCCCTCCCATGTTAATTTTCTCCCATAGCCACCCACTTCTAAGCTATAATTGTATCGTCGAGCGTCAGTTTCATCACCCATGAAACGAAGAAATGCCATATAAACAGGAGCCATGCCTAGCTGGAATGCTTCAAAATGCAAACAGAAATACTGACCAAAACAATGGAAAACCTGAAATGGGAGATATTGCAAGATAAATAAGTACTCCAAACAATGGTCAAACTCTCATGTATATATACTAACTAATCTTAAACTCATATTAATACTTCGATAAATACTACTTCCTCTAACCCAACTATTAAGTAAACATCTACTTTTGGCATAGAGAAAAACAAGAGTGGATGTATAGAGAACAGAGCGAATTGGTGTGCGTTGGAACCAACTTCAAAGAAAAAGTAGAGAGATACAACTTTCTTAAGATGTTACTCTGCAACTTTTTTTTCGTGGACTTCGAAAATGGAAGACTTGGCTGTGAGACAGAGAGTATATCCAATGATCACAGAGCACTAAATGACTTCAGTATATGTTACTTGAACTCTCTGCTCTAATAAATAATATCACATTGATCCTTGAGCACCAAACATAAAGTGACACCAGGGCCTTTCAAGTTAAACCATAACCATCGAAATGACCCAAAAAGCAACCATATATTACTATGAAAACCTAACTGAGCATAGGACTATGGTTGATAAAGAATCATACAGCTAGTATAATACTCATCACCAAATTTCCCCAAGATTCTAAATGCAACATATACCCACAGTAGTTAAAAATAAATAAGGCACTTACTGTTAGCATCCAGGTAGCATTGTCAACTTCAAGGGGGTTAGCTTTGACATAACGATGATTAAATGTAGAACCAGAGTGCATATCAACTTTATGATCATCCCTCAGATGAGTAACAAGGAAAGGAATATCCCCAACAACGGAGCATTCATAACCAGCATATGGACAGCTGAATGGTCTAAAGTTACATAGGGCTTCATGCTTAAGTTTAATATAATAAGGAGAAATCTCCAGGCAACCATATGGGCTGTATTTGCAAGGAAGATCTAGAGACTCGGCCACCTTCTCCAATGCCAAACATCTGATTTCTCCAAGCTCTTGTCTGCAAGTAGGGCATCGATTGTGAACCCTTGTCTTACACTCTGAACAAAGTGTGTGTCCGTTATGGCACTGTTAATAAAACCAAATTAGAAATGCAGTGAATAATCTATTCATAAAAAAAACAATTAACAATCAAACTAAACATTAACAGTCTCTAACAAGAATGTTATAGCCTAGAAGCCTCTTTTACAATTGATAAGCAAAGAAAACTTGTGTTCTAACGATGTTATTATATAGAATTAATTGGGAAGATGGAATACAAGGAACTAAACAGAGAATAATGAGAGCATTCCACATCAAGAGCAGCGAAATTAAGAGAATCAATCAACATTAGATACCACAAGAAAGATTCCACTTCCAATTACCACAGTTTTAGATAATTTTACTGTTTAAATTTTAACGGCATCATACATTCTTAATCCAGTCAATTTTATCAACTGTTTTTTAATCAAATCAGTAATGCAATTCCAATCCTATTCATTTCCTGCAATACTTGAAAAATAAAACTCAATATCTAAACAACAATCTTCCACAAACATGGGGAAAACCATTTCCACAAAAATGGAAGACCTTTGTTCAGGCAATCTGTGTATGCTAGACAACAATTCACAATCCTATGATTCCTATCATAAAGTTCCATGATTATGCAATAAATCATCCAGCATAAACTATGAAAAGTTGCAAACTTTACAAGATAATCAGCTTTTTGAGATCCCTATAAATCTATTAATATCCTCAAACACATATACAGAAACTTCAGCTTTAAGTACACCATAATCCACATTTCAATCCTTTTCACTCTGTTCTTCCCCGGCTACAAAAGTTCAAAATGTGGGTGTTTTGCCTGCTTTTCATAAAGTAAAATAAATTAAACCCCAATTCTCAAAATTCAATTGAACAGCACAAGGTATTTCCCAAAATCCTGAAATCCCCAAATTTATTAATTTTTAAAAGGATTCTTACAAATCAACAAAACCAAAACTTGAGTTCCATTTTCCCCCAATCTAAAACCCAAAAATAGAAGCTAAAACCAATTTAAATACCAACAAAACAATAAGAAATCCATTGAAAATATTGCAAAAAATAAGAGATTGAACATATCAGAGAGAAAAGAACCTGGTGAATAGGAGGGTACATAGCATGAGCGCAAACTGGACATTCAAAGATTTCAACAACGCTATTAGTTGTCGAAGGAATCAAAGGCGAAGCTAATTTCCTCCTTGATTTTGAAGATTGATTGTGATTATGATTATGATTTTGTGGGTAATTAATCTCAGCTTCATACAATCTTTCTGTAGACGACGACGACGTCACACATTCAATCCTATCTTCTTCCATCTTGTTCATCTTCCTTTTCCCCCTTTTTTCGATCCAAACCCAGAAATTAATTAATACCCATCAACCAAAAACCCAAAAAGATTTAAAATTTCCGATCAAATTTAATTGGGATTTGACAATTTTTGGCTGGATTTGTCGGAAAGATTTTTTAAAAAATAAATAAATTTAGCCTTTTGTATTTGGGAATGTTGAGAGAAGAAGGAAGAGAAGGATGAAGAGGAAAGAGGGAAATGAGTTGAAGGTGCTTTGCTTTAATTCGTTGGCTTTTTCTCGATTTTTTTACAAAAAATAAAAAAAATACGAGTGAGAAATAAATGGGTGTTTGATTGAAAGTGATAATATAATTATAATATAATAATAATGGAGAAAATGATGATGATTAGAGGAGTATATTATTATGGAGTATGGAGCACTAATTATGTGCAATAATAAGGTTAATTTTTTTTGGATTTATAAATTATTTTATTTTTTATTGAATTAATTAATAATTAGGTAGGGTAAGAAGAAATGTTGGGAGAGGGACAGATGAGTCAACCTGAAAATCTTTTATTACAAAATTTGTTTAAAAATTAAAAAAGGAGTAATTGAAAATAATTTTTGGCATTGTCTTACTCTTCCCCAATCACCATTGGAGTTATGACTTCTGACAGAGTGACAGGCAAAGCTTAAATGATGGTACATTGTCTTCTCTGAAAGGGTAAACTTTTTTGAATTAGAATTTTAAAATTTTGTTGAAAATCAAATATACCTTGGTAATGGTATCAAAATGTTTGCTAATGGATGGAAACTGCCCAATGAATTTGTATTTGAAATTTTGAATCCTCAATTATCAGTATTGCTATTTTTTTTTCCTTTAGTTGAAATAAAATACAAGTATGAAATTTTGAAATTTACTACCCACTAAAAACATATGTTTCACATTTGTTACTGATTTAATTTTTATTTTTTTTTTTACTTTACTACCATCTAAATGGGAGTTTGTTAAAAATAACTACCTGATATCTTTTACCAAAATTATTTTCGTTAGTGGGCCCAACCACCTCACTGCCACCCCCTCCCCTCAACTGTCACCCTTCTCCGATCCCTCCACACAACTAGCGGCCGGCGCCCAAAGTTACGACCGGCACTGACGACCCCACTCCTCCCTTTTCCCCTACCTACGAATCCAAACCCCCCTCCTTTATCCCCTTCTTGCTGCCCCAACCACGACCACACCCGAAACTGGAAACCACCCCTCCCCATTTCCCCCACCGGAATCGACCCCCCTCCCCTTAACCCTAAACCACCACCCCAAAGCAACCATAAGT